AGTCCCGATCCGGAGAGGCTCGTGCAGCCACAGCAGTGCTCACTAGCCATGAGCCCTGCATCTGGTGCCCTCCCAAGGGGAGTGGCCTGCGGGATCTTGCTGAAACTGGCTCTGCAACATCCCTGAGGGCTCCCAGATTGCAAGAGGGTGCAGGCCAGGCCGAGGGACCCCACTGGTGCACGATCGGGCTGGGGAGGGACCGTGGGAGGGCTCCAGGGTGTGTCCGGCCCATCTTGCTCAGTCCCAATCGGCCAGATCCCAGCAGCAAGCTAACATACTGGTCAGCATATCATTAACATATTATGCTTTGATTGGTTGGTTGGTTGTTCTGCCGTTTTGTCTCCTGTCTGGTGTATCTGCCAAGTCCACCAGAAAAGTAACCTCACAATGTACAAGTAATATGGTTGAGTTTCTGGTTTTCAGAACTACCCACAGCACATCATTCATGATTTTTCTTAACTATAACTATAGTGTTCATGGTTTATTCCAGTTTCAGATTTATTTTCCTCTTTAGAAGGCAGTGGCTAAGAGCACAGATTCTGGAGCAACACTGTCTGGGTATGAATCCCAGCCCTGCCATTCACTACCTGTGTGATTATGGACAAGTTATTTAAAGTCCCCATATCTCAGTTTACTCATCTGTGAAATGGGGATAATACTGGAGGCCTGGTGCATGAATTCGTGCATGGGTGGGGTCCCTCTTGGTGGCCTGCAGTGATCGAGACGAATCCCACAGGCCAACGCCACCTGCAGCTCCTACCTGCTGGCCCGCTCATCCCAGCCCCACTGTGCCTGCTGCAGGCTTGCACCCAATCAGACTTAGGGGAAGGCTCTTGCTGCTGTAGCAGCGCTCGCCAGCCATGAGCTCTACGTCTGGTGCCCTCCCAAGGGGAGTGGCCTGCAGGATCGGGCTGAAGCCAGCTCTCCGACATCCCCTGAGGGGTCCCAGATTGTGAGAGGGCGCAGGCCAGGTAGAGGGACCCCACAGGTGCATGATAGGGCCTGGGAGGGAAGCGGGAGGGCTTCAGGGCATGTCCGGCCCATCTCGCTAGTCCCGATCGGCCAGACCCCAGCAGCAAGCTAACATACTGGTCAGAGCATCTGCCCTCTGATGGTCACTGCACGTCATAGCAAGCAGTTGAGCAGCCTTAGCATATCATTAGCATATTATGCTTTGATTGGTTGTTCAGTTGTTCTGCCGTTTGGTCTATTTGCATATTACCCTTTTATTATATGGGATTATATAGGATTACAGCGTCTGGAGAGTTGTACTCTGTGACCTAGGACAAGTTACTTAACCTCCTTGTGCCTCGGGATTCTCATCTCTAAAATTATGATAATTTTACAAATACCTTGTAGGGTTTTGGTAAATATGAAATGTAATAATAGCTATTAAGTATTTCATTTATTGATACAGTAAGTGAAAGCTGCTATTAATATTAACACCATTATTATCTTTAAATATCTAATATTTCATTGTATGTTATAATAGACATATTCTGTTTCTGAAATATAGTCTGATCATTTTAGCTCATGGAATCTCAAAGGGCCATCTCATCTTGGTTGTCCTGCCTCCTAGCTCTGCTACACAACTTAGGCCAAGCTCAAAGTACTGAAGTACCATTTGGGTTTGCACCCTGTGCTAGGGGTTATTATAGAGCTCACAGGAGAGAGAAGTCTTCTTGTTAGCACTCTTTCCTAAGGTAGAATTTTTGATTTCTCACTTTAAAAGGTAGAGAAGTTCACTGGTAGGTCACTACTAATAGAAATTATATTTATAGGCACCAGGAGTAGGCATTTTAATCATGAGTATTTTTCAGGTTATATATAATCTATTACGGTAGTTATTTTGGGAAAGAAGTAACATTCAGTTGAATAAGGGTGTGAGTGCTTATTTTTTCTAATTGCTAAATTTCCACCATGTTCCCCCCCCCCCTTATCTTTATATTATGGTTTGTAGAATGAAACAGTCTTGTCCATGTTGCTCTTCCTTCCGCCTCTATTTTGTGGTATTAGAGAGTTTTCAAGATTAGAAGGTATGTTAGTTACTTATTTCATAGATGAGGAAACTAAGACTTAATGAGTTTGAGATTTTACTAGTTTGTGATGTGTGCTTTTGATACAAACTACCCATGAGATTTGTTTGGATTTCCCAACTTGAAGAACTGTCTTAAATTTTCTGCCATACACTAAAGCAGTGGTTCTCAACCCTCCTAATGCCGCGCCCCTTTAATACAGTTCCACATGTTGTGGTGACCCCCAACCATAAAATTATTTTCGTTGCTACTTTATAACTGTAATTTTGCTACTGTTATGAATCATAATGTAAATATCTGATATGCAGGATGTATTTAGACGACCCCTGTGAAAGGGTCGTTCGACCCCCAAAGGGGTCGCGACCCATAGGTTGAGAACCGCTGCACTAAGGGAATGAGAGAAGAGAGAGGCGAAAGGTGAAAGAGAAGAGGATCTGTAATTGATATCCCAAAAGAGGACATGGGACAGGATATGGTAAAAATAAATTTGCTTAGCAACTATAGTGTATTGGGAGGCAGAATAGCATAGAATTTAAGAGCCTGAATATTGAAGTCAGGCTGTTGGGGTTCTATTTCTGGCACTTCTACTTCCTAGCTCTGTGACCCTGGGCATGTTTTTCTCTTTACCTTAAACTCACCGCCCCGCCCCCCCCTTTTTTTCATTGATAGAAGAGTGCTGGCTACTAATAATAACTACCTTACTAAGTTCCATACTTAGGCCTATTAGTGGAAGAGAGGAAAAGTAGTTATGTGGTGATGAGTTGGCTTTAAAATACTTGGTTAAGCTGCTGTATATGACTCAGCACAGAATAATTGTAGGGACTTTTTATTAAGGGATAAACAGTAGGTACATTTAGAGGTCTTTCATTTTAATACATACTATTCTGTCTCGGTGAGGGGATATGAGGGTTTGGTTTATTTGAAAAAGCAACCATTTTTCAGACCAGTTGTCAGGAATATATATGGATGGCAGCTTGATAAATTAGGTCAGGTAGAAAATGAAAATATGAGGGTACAAGGATTTAAGACAGGGGTGGGCAAACTTTTTGACTCGAGGGCCACAATGGGTTCTTAAACTGGACCGGAGGGCCGGAACAAAAGCATGGATGGAGTGTTTGTGTGAACTAATATAAATTCAAAGTAAACATCATTACATAAAAGGGTACGGTCTTTTTTTTTTTAGTTTTATTCATTTCAAACGGGCCGGATTCGGCCCGCGGGCCGTAGTTTGCCCACGGCTGATTTAAGAGTTGCTCTAGCCTCCTAAGACTCATACAGAAAGCCATAGATCAGGTACTTGGGATAAGGAAAACCAAAATAATAAAAAATTTAGCTAGAGTAAACATATAGCTTTCAGCTTTCATGAAAATTAAAATGAATTCATAAGGATACCTTATCTGGCTGAGTTTAGTATTATTTCTCTAGGACTCCTGAACCATTTCTACCAGATGTGGCTAAAGGAATATTTAATTTTGCTCAGTGCTCTCTCCATTTTTAGCAGGTATTTAGCATCTTTTCATTCATGTGGAAGAGCTAGACTAGCAGCCACTCTATAGTTTGACAAATAGCGAGCTGGAGATGGGATAATAGAGCCTTAGTTCCCCTCACATGCTATCTATAAAAATACACAGAGGTCATTTTGATCCCAGGAAGGGTTGGACTGGCTTGAATTTTGGGAGAACCTGGCATGTAGTTCATTTACATTTTAAGGTTCAGGCCTTCAGAATGAATATCTAAGGGTAGAGAGGACCTGTGGTTTTCTTCTTCCAGCAGAGCACAGTGGGAACCACCATTGTAAATAAGGATAATAAGGTTGTCTGCCTGCTTTTCAGTAGCTTGTGGCTTACTGTGGTCCTGAGTTTCAATTTGCTGATATTTTTAAATCACTCAATTTGTTAAATGTAAAACATGAGTAAATATATATTTTAGAGTTCACGAATTATGGTTAGAAATACAAGTCATATTTGCCTAAAGAATTAAATCATTTATCAAACTTTAACTCTTTTAAGGCAGCAAATAATTAATTAGCAAATTAATCTCATTGGTAAACATGGGATTACAGGAGAGGGAGAGATTACTTTGGATGGTAATAGAAGAGGAAGTATTTGAATAGTATATTATAGGACAAATAGCATTTGTATGAATAAAGTTGAGATGAAGATAACTTTCTGGAAATGTGGAATGATGGAACCACAAGTACAAATGCTTCCAAATCACGAAATTCAGTAAATAGTAAATCATCTTGCTTTGCAGGTAAACAGTGTGGTTAGGCAGGTAACCTTTCTGTAGAAGAAATACAGTCTATCTTTGGGAAGAAGAGAGCCAGTTAAAATTAGACTTTTATACAGGTCATGACACAAAGTGCTTTATAAAGATCAATATGTTGAGGTATGAAGGATGGAACCAGTGTAAAAGGGTGACAAGAAATAAGATGATCTGGTAAGATGTTACTACACAGGCCCACTTGTGATGAGATAAAATTTGGATTAGGATGGTAGGATCAAGATCACAAAGTAATGGAAAGAAGAGAGATGTCACAAAGGGAAAAAACAAAACAAAACTGGCACACTTGGTAACTAGGGGAGATAAAAAATCATATAGACTTACTGTCCCCAGAGTAATGACTCCCGAACTAAAAACTTCATGTGTTTTATTTAGGCTTTGACAGGTTAGCTGTGGTTGTGTTATACAACTACTAGATTATCTGATTTTGATGGTTTTCCTTATAAATGGGAAAATCTAGCTGTGTTAATAAAAATTAAATTAAATAATTTTTTCTTACTGACCCCCATTAGCATTGATGGGTACTAAAGTTTAGTGTTCACTCTCCTTTAGAGTAGATATTTCCTTTCTCTAGATTGTTTATGGTTTGCTTTTTTTTATTTTGAAGAAAAAAATGGTGTAGGTCCTAGGAGTTCAAATGCAATAATTAGAAAGGACATACAGATTTTGAAATAGTATTTTATGCCTCTTGATCTCAGGTACAAAACACAAGATGAAGCAGTTAAATAGCAAAGCAAGACAGGAGGGACAGAGAATTAAAGTAAGTGTTTTCTATATATTGCATCTATGTTCCCATTAATCTCAGTTTTGTTATATAACTGCTCCTTCTGAATGTTCTGAATGTGAAGAAAACTATGGGTAAGAAAAGGGAGTATTTTAAAGTTAGGGTTAAATAAACCCATGAGAGAAATGTTTGTTAAAATTGGTTGCATTCAAAACAGCACCTGACTATATATTGTAATCTTAATGTTCTTGGGTAACAAAATAATTGGGTTAAAAATGATATACACTCCTTCAAATCACATACCTATCAGATTGTTGATGGTTCCATTTTAAGCCAGTCAAACCTATTTTTTCAGTCTAGCCATTCTAGGTACAATGCCAGTTGAGATGCTCTAATATAGATCTTCTGGAAAGAGCCTTTCTCACCTCACTGTGAGTTTCACTTTGTATGCCTATGAAATAGCATGTTTATCAGGATTGATCTTTGCAAGTCTCTCTTTTTTTCTTCTCATTGTTTAGTCTTTAAAGTTAACAAGTAGAAGTCAAAACATATTAATCTTTTAAAATCTCTCTTTTGTCCCTTTTTGTAATTGTTGAGGTCCTAGTTTCTGATGGCTTTTTAATTATTTCCTATAAACTTAGGAAATAATTTAGGATAGAGTCTGCTGAATACATTTTTAGGCCTGCTTAGCCTATTTTTATTAATAACAATAATCATAACCAGCATTTGTCACAATATAGTTTAAGACCTTGCATGTGATGCCTATTCTAAGTTTCATACCAGCTCACCAAGAAGTCATTTTAAAAATCCTATACATTTCCCCCCTTTATTTTCTTTTTCTATCACCATTTATCCCACATATACCCTCTTCCACTTCTACCCACTCCCCTACCCCCCCTGTAGTCACCACACGGTTATCCCTGTCCATGAGTTCTTTCTCTTTTATTTCTTTTTTTGCAAACCTACCCCTATCACAATACCCCCCACCAGAGTTGTCTACCTACTCTCTCTATCTATGAGTCTGTCCCTATTTTGCTTATTTGTTCAGTTCATTAGATTCTGCATATGAATGAAATCATGTACTTTTCGTTCTCTGACTGGCTTATTTCACTTAGCATAACGGGTCCATCCATGCAGTAACAAAGGGTGAAATTTTCTTCCTGTTTGCAGCTGAGTAGTATTCTGTTGTGTAAATGTACCATAGCTATTTTATATACTCTTCTACTAATGGACACGGGTTGCTTCCAAATCTTGGCTATTCTAAATAATGCTGCAATGAACATAGGGGTACATATATTCTTTCGAGCTAGTATTTCAGGTTTCTTCAGATAAATTACCAGAAGTGAAATTCCTGGGTCATAGGGCAGTTCCATTTTTAATTTTTTTTCATATGTATATTGGAAATCTGTATGTCCTCTTTGGAGAAGTGTCTGTTTAGGTCTTTTGCCCATTTTTAAATTGGATTGTTTGTTTTTGGTGTTGAGTTTTATAAGCTCTTTATAAATTTTGGATATTAACCTCTTATCAGATGTATTGGTGAATATGTTCTCCCATTCAGTAGGTTGTCTTTTCATTTTGTTGATAGTTTCCTTTGCTGTGCAGAAACTTTTGAGTTTAATGTAGTCCCATTTGTTTATTTTTTTCTTTGTTTCCCTTGCCTGAGGAGATGTATAAAATAAATATTGCTGTGAGAAATGTCCAAGATTTTACTAGCCTTTGTTTTCTTCTAGGAAAAATCCTGTACATTTTAGAAGTCAAGGAAATTTAGGCTCAGAGAATATAGAAAACTTACCAGATATTAAATATCTAAGACTAATATGATTCTAAATTACTGTTTCTTTCTATCATATTACATTTGCTGAAGTATAAAAGAGACCCCAAACAGTTGTTATTTCTACTTATCAAGGACTTTAAAGATAGATACTCTAGAAGTTGTAACACGATGGGGCTATCTTTATTTCTTATAAAAATATTCACTTTTATATGTAAAAAAAATAAAGCCATGGAATAAATCAGGTAAGTTTGCTTCTTGGTTTTACCACTATCTTTGACCTTGAAAAAGATAAAATACTTAATTTGAGCCTCAGTTTTCTCATTTGCAAAGAGATTGCTCTCATAAATATGTATAAGAATTAAATAGAGGAAGTTTTATAAAATATGTAGTGTAATATCTGGAGTTTATTAAGTAGTGTATAAGTGTTCCTCTTTTTACATCCAGTTTCATGAAAAGTATACAGATCCCTTCTGATGCAAAACCATGTTAAGAGTTTTATAATCTTGGATGCTCCTTAGGGAGGAAGCTGGAATATGTCCTGAACAAAATGAGGGACCTATTCTAGTTTTTAAATACTCACCAATAGGTTCTATAAATCAGAAAATTATGTTTACGAAATTGAAACTGTTGGAAAAGTTTACTATCTCACAGATTTTGGGATTTGGAGATTATTGTGGGAAAAAGTATGTAGCCCAGATTCATAGGAATGTAAATTCAAAAAGGAGAGGCTTTAGTTTCTCAAAAATGTTTTAAAGGTTATCTACATCATAGGGTAGTTAAGGGACCTAAATGAGATTGATTATGTGGTTAAACATAGCATAATCAATTAATTTTAGTTCCTTTTGTGATATATTTTTGTTGTCATTTATTCTAACGTTTTCTGAAAATAAGCTTGCAAGGTTTTCCTTTAATTTATTGAACTAATGCTTAATCTTTTGTGTTATCAAATGACATAATTATTTGGATGTGGTTTTATATTGTAATCAATATGCTACATTTTGCATGAAGCAGAACGTATTCTTGGTGTTTAGGAAATTATTTAGTGATTAAACAATAAAGTATCAGCTATCCTGAACCAAATATCTTCTCTGCATTGATGATAACATTACATCTCATTGAGTTCATACTTTTCTGAGATTGTGCTCTGAAAATACTGTACTTAATTTGCCATTAACCCTACATTACATCTTTAGATCACTTTTCCTCAGTATCTTCCCTTTTTAAATCTTATAGTCTTCTTTTGAACTTCTATACTCTAGTTTGTGGGATCTCACATTTTTTCTTCCACTTCTTTCATTCATGAAGCATTTATTGAGGTTCCACTATTTTCTCTCTCTGGAATTAGTTGGGCAAAACAAAAATGATTAGCTCACATACCCTGGGCAAAAGTAGTGTTCTTTCTTATGGGAAAAACAGATTATTATACTATAGAATGATAAAAGTTCTAATAATGATGGCCCTGGGAGAGTAGAAGCACAGAAATAGAAGCAGTACTTGATTATGAAACCTCAAAGGCATACCAAGTGAAAATGATTATCTGTTTTATAATACAAAAAACAGAGGACTTAAGCCTGGAAACAAGTGAACTTCTTCCATTAGACAAGCAAACTTGATCAAATTAGTTACTTATTCTGGACATAGTTCCTAACATGTAAAAAATTTGAACAAGATTACAGTGTCTCAAACTGTTTAATAGAATATTAATAAACAATTTGTAAATACACAGTTCCATGGTCCACCATATTTATGTATTAAACAAAATTAAATGTTTTTATTGGTGTTAGATTTTTGTTTTTTAATATTACTGTAAATTATAAACTTTTAAGAAAGGAATGCAACATACTTCTCACATATTTTCCCATCCAGGGAATCCTTCTGTATCTCTTTTGAAATAAGTTTGACTGCTAGTAACATAGCAGTCTCAAGGCATAGTAAATTAAACAACTTATACATTTAACTGTTTATTTAGATCTGTGATCCATTGCAGTTCTTTTTTTAATAAGGTGTGAAGTAAGGCTCCTGTTTTATTGGTATCCGTTAAGAGATTTTTTTCCCCATTGAATTCCCTAGTTACCTCTGAAAATCAATTAACATATATGAAAAGATCCATTTTTTACTCTATTCTGTTCCATTGTTTTTTTTAATCATCACACCAAGACCATACTGCATTACTGTACATCTATATATATAAAAGGCTAATATGCTAAGTGTTTGACTGTCTGACCGATCGTTATGACGTGCACTGACCACCAGGGGCAGACGCTCAATGCAGGAGCTGCCGTGATGTGCACTAGCACTGTGGACCTGGTGCCCACAAAGCAACACTCGGCTTTCCCCAAGTGGGACACAGGCCCCGTCACCACCCTGGAGCGACAGCCCACCTAATCGCAGCCCATGCTGCCGAGACCCCATGGTGCAAAATGCGGCTCCCAGCCCAGCCCAGCCTGAAAACGGTGGCTGTGGGTGCCAGGTAATGACGTCACCTAGCAACGCCCTGCTTCCTCTCCCTTGCCACGACTAGCCTCCTTGCAGTTTCTTCAGCCCAGGAACATGAGTTGCTTTATAGCAGTGGTTCTCAACCTGTGGGTCGCGACCCCTTTGGGGTCGAACGACCCTTTCACAGGGGTCGCCTAAGACCATCAGAAAACACATATATAATTACATATTGTTTTTGTGATTAATCACTATGCTTTAATTATGTTCCATTTGTAACAATGAAAATACATCCTGCATATCAGATATTTACATTACGATTCATAACAGTAGCAAAATTACAGTTATGAAGTAGCAACGAAAATAATTTTATGGTTGGGGGTCACCACAACATGAGGAACTGTATTAAAGGGGCGCGGCATTAGGAAGGTTGAGAACCACTGCTTTATAGCCAGGTGCAAATATTTCATACTCTAACCAAATGTCTGTGAAGCATTTTCCCGTGCCTCATCTTATTTGATCCTCACAGAAGTCCTGGTGTAGGTAGATAGGAGACTCGGTAGAATCCTATTTTCTTTTCATTATCCAGAAAATGGAGATTTAGAAAGCTTAGAAGCTTGACCCGACTGAAAAGAAGAAATGGTAGACCTTGAAAATGACTTCAGGTTTTCTCACTGCACAGAATATAGTCAAACACTGATGCAGTTAAATATTTTACCCTTTGTTCTCCCTGTGTGATCTACAATAATAATGTGCTTCATGTTGATATTTATTGCTGTATTGCTGACACTCAACTGAAAGAGAGGTTGGGGTGCTTCATTGGGCTGGAAAAAGTTTAGCTAAACCAGAAAGCAGGTCTAATTAAGCAAGTTAATTCTATGTACATAAAAGCGTAAGTTGAGTTGTGCATGCACGATACATATAAAGCTCTCACTGGTGCCAATCGCACACGTGTGTTTCGATCTATCATTGTCGATTTTGAGTTTGGTTGACACTTCTATTATAGAGAAAGGGCGAATGGTGATATTGAAATATTTCTTCTAATTAATTTCCTTTCAATGTGCACAAATTCGTGCACCTGGCCACTAGTTTAAAATAAACCTTGATATGAGATAGTGTATGTCTTCCAATCTGTTATTTGGTTTTAAATTTTTTTTTGCGTATTCTAGGTGCTTTGCATATAAATTGAAATATTTTAAACCAGCCTATCATTTTCTATAAAGTGTTCTGGATTTTGTTTGGGATTACATTGAATCTATAGATCAATTTAAGGGGAACTCATTTTAACAATGGGGAGCCTTCTGATCCATGAATATGGTATATCCTTCTATTTAAGCTTCTTTAATTTCTCTTAGTAATGTTTTACATTTTTCATTGAACGCATCTTGCACAACTTACATTCAGTTTATAACAATAATTTTTAATGTTCTTATGATTGTATTTTTTATTTCATTTCTGGTTGTTCATGTCTTGAATAAAACTATAATAGATATCTGTATATTTATTATACAGAATTGTATAACAGAATTGGGTAATGGGCCAGAACTGGAGTCCCATTTGAAAGACTGATTTGTGAAGCATCTGCTTCCAAGCTCATTTGGTTTATGGCAGGATTCATTTTCCTTTAGTTTTTGAACTGAGGGCCACAGTTCCCTGTTGATTATTGTCTGGAAGGTGTCCTCAGTATCTTGCCAATTTGGTCTTTTCATCACAGCAACTTCATCAAAGCCAGCAAGGGAGAGGGTTTGCTAGCAAGATAGAAGACACAATATTGTGGAGCCTAATCATAGACATGACATCCATCACTTTTGCCATGTTCTATTGATTAGAAGCAAGTCATTAGGTCAGCTCACACTCAAGAGGACTGGTTTATATAGGGGTATGAATACCAGAAGACAGAGACCCTTGGGCCATTTTAGAATCTACCTGGCACAATGTTTGTAGGATTCATAGTTACAATACCAACCTCATTCCTGATATTGATGAATTGTTTTCCTTTCTTTTTCCTGATCAGTATGGCTAGAGGCTTACCTATTTTATTGATATTCTCAAAGAACTAATTTTTGGTTTCATTGGCCTTTTCTTTTTTTCAATATGTTTGACTTCTACTTTTACCTTTACTTTGAGTTTAATTTGCTCTTTGCTTTCTAATTTCTTAAGTTCGAGGTTGAGGTAATTGATTTGAGACCTCTCATCTTTTCTAATAGGCATTTTTAGTACTACTAGGGGACCGGTGCACGAATTCATGCACCAGTAGGGTCCCTCAACCTGGCCTACAGGATCAGGCCGAAACCAGCTCTCCAACATTCCCTGAGGGGTCCCGGATTGCAAGAGGGTGCTGGACAGGCCAAGGGACCCCACCGGTGCATGATCAGGACCGGGGAGGGATGTGGGAGGTTGACCAGCAAGGGAGGGACTGTGGGAGGGCTCCAGGGTGTGTCCGGTCCGTCTTGCTCAGTCCCAATCAGCTGGACCCCAGCAGCAAGCTAACCTACCGGTTGGAGTGTCTGCCCCCTGGGTGTCAGTGCACATCATAGTTACTGATTGACAGGTTGACTGTCTGCCCCCTGGTGGTCAGTGCACATCATAGTGACCGGTCGACTGTCTGCCCCCCTGGTGGTCAGTGCACGTAATAGCAACTGGTCGACTGGTTGACTGTCTGCCCCCTGTTGGTCAGTGCACATCATAGCGAGCTGTTGAGCAGCCTTAGCATATCATTAGCATATTACGCTTTAATTGGTTGAACGGATGACCAGACACTTAGCATATTAGGCTTTTACTAGAGGACTAGAGGCCCAATGCACGAAATTCGTGCAAGAGTAGGCCTTTCTTCCCCCAGCTGCTGGCACTGGCCTCCCTCTGGCACCTGGGACCTGGGCTTTCCTCCGGCCGCCGGCAGACACTGGGTACCCGGGCTTCCCTCGCAGCCCCGGCTTCGTCTAGAACAGTGATGGCGAACCTTTTGAGCTCAGCGTGTCAAAATTTTGAAAAACCCTAACTTAAATCTGGTGCCGTGTCACATATAGAAATATTCATAATTTTTTTTGATATTTGCAACCATAGTAAAAAAAAGATTTATATTTTTGATATTTATTTTATATATTTAAATGCCATTTAACAAAGAAAAATCAACCAAAAAATGTATAAAATGAACAAAAACAGAAAAACAATGTACATTTAGGAAAAAATAATAATAAAAACAATGATAATCAAATGGTAC